CTTGAAAGCCGGACGGCCGGGGCGGCGGCTGCCCGCCCGGCCGGGGATGGGCCCACTGCTTCTGGGCAATGGAGTGCGTGCGGCTGCGTGTCCTGCCCAGCAGGGCGCTGCTTCCTTTTCACCTGGAGGGGTACCAGCCCCGAGGACGGCGTCCAGCGCAGCAGCAGCTGGCCCGCCTGTGTCTCCGCCTGTGTCTCCGCCTGTCTCCGTACAGGCAGATCTCCAGGAGGTGGCAGCGCCTAACTTGTGCGATGGCTGCGGCCCAGAGCGGCAGGCAAACTCTCCTGGTGTTACCTGCGAGCCTTGCAGGCGGTGAAAGCATAGCGACATCGATTCGTGGTTAAGAATAAATTTGTGGACCAGTACGATTTCGTTACTCCACACGCATGGATAGAAGAGCTCGGAGTCTATAAGACACGCAAGTGGTGTCCCTGCCAATGTGCGAGTGCTCTGCTTGGCCTCGTTTGACTCCCCGGCAAAGAAGTTGCCAGAGCTTTTCTTGGCTGTAGCGAGCATCAGCCCGTTCACGCTCATGAAACATCAGTCCTGCTCTAGCTGTAATTTGTGACTCTTTACCTTTGACAGGCAAATAAGTTGAGCCAACGTTTGTACCGTTCACGAATTTGTCATGTCTACGCTAATGTCTTCTACTCTACGTTGAAAGTCATCAAATGCCACAATGTGTATTTATGTTCCTGCATACAGCATGTTCCCTTCATCTTCAATGTATCGGGTGCTGAATGTGGAAAACACACATTCAGGAACTAACCTTTCTGTAGCAGAACTATTAACGTTTTTTTGTGCGCTTTACCTTCCAAAAGTCAGTCTAGTGCCCTAGTGTTGAAAGCAAAACCATCATGACCTGCTTAAACCTGAGTGTTTAATGCCGCTGACTCAAGAGCCTATCCAGACTGTCCTTACACCCAGTGGTTGCAACAGCTTTATGGATGGATAGGAGTGAATAAGAGTTGGAATTGTAATTCCCTTTAACTAGCGTGTGTCAAAAGTGCACTCGGGTGCTTGTTTCCATGATCGTTAGAAATGCGTGTGATTTTCTTTTAGGGTGTATTGGATGGGCAACAGAGACAACATCAAAATTAGGCTAATAGTCTTTCTGGTAGCAAGACTCACTATGGGCCAGCTGAAAGAGTAACTAAGCTATAAGATGTCTGTAAGGAAGTCTGTGTTGAGGCTATGTAGGAAAAGCAGGAACACAACAGGAAACGGTGTATATAGCAAAATTATTCATGCCACTTGGAGTAAAGAATAGCTGATTTCAAGTGATAACATGTATAGTGTGGCAGAACGCAATGAGGTTAGAGTGAGTATCTTGGGTAAAATGATACCGTGGGAGTAATTTTTGCACTTTTCTGACAATTGCCAAGGATAAATATGTATATCTGTGAATGGCAATATAACAGCTTTGGTATGTTATCTGTAAACAGCACTTCTTATTCTTACATATTGAACCAATTTTGATCACAATGTCTCCTACATCTGTTGGGAAAACTTTTTGTGTACCAAGAAATACAGGAGCAATTACTTTCAGCTTTTAATACACTCTGTTCCTCTGACAGATGAGTAAATATTCCATCCCTGTTGTTATAAAGTTATCAAAACCCAGCAGAATTTCCCAGGGCTGTAGATATCAGTGTAGAAGTCAAAGAGCAAGAGTGCTTGACTTCTAGTTTCATAATCGGTGCATGAATTCACGCATCAGTAATCTCATCGGCTGTAGACTGGGTCTGCAGCAATTTTGTGTGGTGGCAGGGTAGGAAGGAGTACTGAAAGCACAGAATGCGTGACTACATCTGATGCAGTTAACTGGATAACTTGGTTAATCAAGAAGTGAAATAGCTTGTGCTTACCCTCCCCCCCCGCCCCCCGTGAGGAATTGGTGTTTACCTTGTTGACTGAATCATTCTGGCTCAGAGACATTTTGCTTACGCAGGTCTCCTCCTGACCTTCAGCACTGGGGTGAAGTTCACCATTTCTCCTCTTTGTATTTCCCCATGTAATAGGGGAAGTAATCGTTGCATTCTTTTCTGCCTTTGGGTCAGGGTATTTAGGCTGCTGCTCAGCAGGA